TTTGTGTCCTTTGTAGGGACATGGATGCAGCTGGAAACCATCATTCTTAGCAAACTATCACAAGAACAGAAAACCAAACACCACATGTTCTCACTCATAGGTGGGAACTGAACAATGAGATCACTTGGACTCGGGAAGGGGAACATCACACACCGGGGCCTATCATGGGGAGGGGGGAGGGGGGAGGGATTGCATTGGTAGTTATACCTGATGTAAATGACGAGTTGATGGGTGCTGATGAGTTGATGGGTGCAGCACAGCAACATGGCACAAGTATACATATGTAACAAACCTGCACGTTATGCACATGTACCCTAGAACTTAAAGTATAATAATAATAATAAATTTAAAAAAAAGAAGAAAAAAAGAAATAACCACTATCAGAGAGGAACTGAAGGAGATAGAGACATGAAAAACCCTTCAAAAAATCAACAAATCCAGGAGCTGCTTTTTTGAAAAAATTAGATAGATCACTGGCTAGACTAATAAAGAATAAAAGAAAGAAGAATCAAATAATCAGAAATAACAAGGGAGATATCACCACTGATCCCACAGAAGTACAAACAAGCATCAGAGAATACTACAAACATCTCTATGCACATAAACTAGAAAATCTAGAAGAAATGTTGAAATTCCTGGACCCATACACCCTCCCAAGACTGAAACAGGATGAAACTGAATCTCTGAATAGACCAATAATGAGTTCTGAAATTGAGGCAGTAAGAAATAGCCTACAACCAAAAAGAGCCCAGGACCAGAAAGATTCACAGCTGAATTCTGCCCGAGGTATAATGAAGAGGTGGTATCATTTCTACCAAAACTATTCCAAAAAATTGAAAAGCAGGGACTCCTCCCTAACTCACTGTATGAGGCCAGCATTATCCTGATACCAAAACCTGGCAGAGATACAACAAAAAAAGAAAACTTCAGGCCAATATCCCTGATGAACATTGATGCAAAAGTTGTCAATGAAACACTGGCAAACAAAATCCAGCAACACATCAAAAAGCATATGCACCATGATCAAGTCAGCTTCATCCCTGGGATGCAAGGTTGGTTCAACATATGCAAATCAGTAAATGTGATTCATCACATAAACAGTATTAAAGAAAAAGAAACACTTGATTATCTCAATAGATGCAGAAGAGGCCTTTGATAAAATTCAACATACTTCATGTTAAAAACTTTGAATAAAAGTTTTTAGGTATTGAAGGAATATACTTCAAAATAATAATAATAATATGACAAACCCACAGCCAATATCATATTGAATGAGCAAAAGCTGGAAGCATTCCCCTTGAAAACTGACACAAAACAAGAATGCCCTCTCTCGCCGCTCCTATTCAACATAGTATTAGAAGTTCTGGTCAGGACAATCTGGCAAGAGAAAGAAAGGGTATTCAAATAGGAAGAGAGAAAGTCAAACTATCCCTATTTGCATATGACATGATCCTATATCCAGAAAACTCCATTATTTCACCCAAAAAGCTTCTTAAGCTGATAAGCAACTTCAGCAAAGTCTCAGGATACAAAAGAAATGTGCAAAAATCATAGCATTCCTATTCACCAACAACAGAGCCAAATAATGAATGAACTCCCATTCACAATTGCTACAAAAAGAATAAAATACCTAGGAATACAGCTAACAAGGGAAGTAAAGGACCTCTTCAAGCAGAACTACAAACCACTGCTCAAAGAAATCAGAGAGGACACAAACAAATATAAAAACGTTCCGTGCTCATGGATAGGAAGAATCAGTATCATGAAAATAGTCATACGGCTCAAAGTAGTTTATAGATTCAATGCTATTCCCATTAAACTATCATTGACATTCTTCAGAGAATTAGAAAACAACTATTGTAAAATTCATATGGAACCAAACATACAAGACAAGCCTAAGCAAAAAGAACAAAGCTGGAGGTATCATGCTACCTGACTTCAAACTATAGTACAAGGCTACAGTAACCAAAACAGCATGGTACTGGTACCAAAACATCATGGTACTAGTACAAAAACAGACACATAAACCAATGGAATAGAATAGAGAAGTTAGAAATAAGACCGAACACCTAAAATTATCTCATCTGTGACAAAACTGACAAAAGCAAACAATGGGAAAATGATTCTCTAATAAATAGTGCTGAGAGAACAGGCTAGCCATATGCCAAAAATTGAAACAGGACCCCTCCCTTACACCTTATACAAAAATTAACTCAAAATAGATTGAAGACTTCTAGGATTTTTATAGTTTTGGGTTTTACATTTGTTGTAAACACTTTACATGAAAATATAGGCAATACCATTCAGGACATAAGCATGGGCAAAGATTTCATGATGAAAATGCCAAAAGCAATTGCAACATAAGCAAAAATTGACAAATGGGATCCAATTAAACTAAAGAGCTTTTGCACAGCAAAAGAAACTGTCATCAGAGTGAACACACAACCTACAGAATGGGAGAAAATGTTGCAACTTATTCATCTGATAAAGGTCTGACATCAAGTCGACAAGGAACTTAAACAAATTTATAAGAAAAAAAGTCCTATTAAAAAGTGGGCAAAGGACATGAACACACACTTCTCAAAAGAAGACATTTATGTGGCCAACAATCAGGAAAATAACCTTGACATCACTGATCATTAGACAAATGCAAATCAAAACCACAATGAGATACCATTTCATGCCAGTCAGAATGGCTATTATTAAATGTCAAGAAAGAACAGATGCTGATGAGGTTGCAGAGAAAAAGAAATGCTTTTACACTGTTGGTGGAAATGTAAAGTAGCTTAACCACTGTGGCAGAGAGTATTGATTCCTCAAAGATCTAGAACCAGAAATACCATTTGACCCAGCAATCCCATTACTGGGTATATGCCCAGAAGGATATAAATCATTCCATTATAACAATACATGCACATATATGTTCACTGCAGTACTACTTACAGTAGCAAAGACATGGAATGAACCATAATGCCCATCAATGATAGACTGGATAAAGAAAATGTGGTACACATACACTATGGAATACTATGCAGCCATAAAGAGGAATGAGATCATGTCCTTTTTAGGACATGGATGGAGCTAGAAACCATTATTCTCAGCAAACTAATGCAGGAACAGAAAGTCAAATATTGTATGTTCTCACTTATAAATGGAAGCTGAATCATGAGACCACATGGACACAGGGAGGGGAATAACACACACTGGGACCTGTCGGTGGGGTAGCTTAGGGTGAGGGACATCATCAGCAAGAATAGCTAATGGATGCTGGACTTAATACCTAGGTGATGGTAGGAATCTGTGCAGCAAACACCATGGCACACATTTACCTATGTAACAAGTCTGTACATCCTGCACCTGTACCTCTGAACCTAAAATCAAAGTTGAAGAAAAAAAAGAAATTTTTCTTTTCACTGGCAAAACAATTATGTGCATTTTGGATTTTTTCTTACTAAGGGAAACAAAATTTTACACATTAATGCCTTTATGTTATCATATGTATAGTAGTCCTTATTTTTTCTTGTTAAAATTTATGTAAATACTTTCCATTGATTATGTGCTACTTCATAATTATGAAACATCAATAAAGTGATTTTTATTTTAAAAAATTACAGCTGAACATTTTACTTTATGCCCAGAAGGGAAAATGCATCTCATGCATTTCTATCATGCTTAGAGGTACCCTAGGAAGATTTATTGCACTTGACTATTTCCTACGTTGGAGGCTAGAAAAATTTTTATTTATTTATTTATTTAATTATTTATTTATTTATGAGATGGAGTCTCATTCTTGTTCCCCAGGTTAAAGTGTAAAGGCATGGTCTCAGCTCGCTGCAACCTCTGCCTCCGACATTCAAGCAATTCTTTCTGCTTCAGTCTCCCAATTAGTTGGGATTACAGGAGCCCACCACCCAATCCTGGCTAATTTTTTTTGTATTTTTAGTACAGATGGGGTTTCAACATGTTGGCCAGGCTGGTCCTTTTTCTTTCTTAATAGTAAATATTTTGGCATTTTACTTTTTATATATTTCTTTTCAAAATTTTTTATTTTACGTTTGGGGGTACATGTGAAGGTTACTAGGTAAACATGTGTCACAAGGGTTTGTTGTACATATCAGTACATCACCCAGGTATTAAGCCCAATACCCGATACTTATCTTTTCTGTTCCTCTTCCTCCTCCCACCCTCCACCCTCGAGGAGGTCCCAATGTCTGTTGTTTACTTCTTTGTGTTCATAGTTCTTATCATTTAGCTCCTATTTATAAGTGAGAACATGTGGTATTTGGTTTTCTATTCCTGCGTTAGTTTCCTAGGCATGATAGCCTCCAGCTCCATCTATGTTCCTGCAAAAGGCATGGTGTCATAGAAACAATTGTTATTGAGCAGAAGTAAAAACATCTACTAAAAATTATCACTGTCTGTTCGATAATAGGAGTATCCAAAGAATTTTTGGCTGAATGCAACCACGGATTAAAGGTACTATACAAAAAGTGCTTTTACACCACCAGATCTTCCCACAACACTACCTCATGCCTACTTCCCTGCAAAAACAAACAAATGAAAAACCGAAAGGGTTGAAGGAAATGCAAGCAACAGAACATGGAAACAGGAGAGCATAAAGAACCATGCTGGCTGGGAGCGGTGGTTCACACCTGTAATCCCAGCACTTTGGGAGGCCGAGGCAGGCAGATCACCTGAGGTCAGTAGTTTGAGACCAGTGAGGCCAATATGGCAAAACCCCGTCTCTACTAAAAATACAAAAATTATCTGGGCATGGTGGTGTGCACCTGTAGTCTGAGCTACCCTGAAGGCTGATGCAGGAGAACTGCCTGAACTCAGGAGGCGGAGGTTGCAGTGAGCCGAGATTGTGCCACTGCACTCCAGCCTGGACAATAAAGCAAGACTCTGTCTCAAAACAAACAAACAACAATAACAACAAAAAAAACAAAGAACCATGCTAAAGATTTCACATGGTTGCCTACAGAGCAAACATAGTTTACCTTGGTTTTTGGAGGTGGTTTTGGCATGTCTTTTTCTAAGCCTCTTGTTAAAAGGATGGGCAGGGAATTCTTATAACTGGCCTCCTACAAAAGAAGTATAAAGGAAACATTAGAGATTAAAGAACATTTACCCTAACCAAAAATTACAAGGTAGTGAAAAACAGTTTTTAAGAGAGAGCATTTCTGGATTGAGTTGTTCACATCAGAAGCTGGTGAAATTGTAATATGGAGTGAAAACTTTTCCTCTTATTTGTCATATACAACAGCCAAGTTAAGATGGTGATGGAGTAGGTGGGAAATGTACAGTACGTATATTCAGAGATGATCATTAAAAATCTTACCTGCACTATTATGTCAGTTTATCACATACATATCCACTATAGACAGCTTGCTCTTCTTTTGAGAAGTGAATAGTTAAATCTCCAAAATATCAACCAACAAACTTAAAGTTGCCAACATTCCCCACATTTTACAGATGGATTCTGACTCTTTACATACTTGATCTTAAACAATTTCCTTCAGATAATTTAGCAAACTACTATTAAATAGTGATAGTTTTGTATTAACACCCTGTGGAAGAATATATGAGTATCTGTTTCCAGAATTATTAAACCTCCAAGTCCTTGGTTCACACCAAAACAACATTTACCAAAATAGTGGCAGAAATTACAAGGAGGCAGCTGAGGCAGAACTGTATAGATTTATTATTTATTCCTACATGATGAACAGAAATGACTGTAATCTTGTTTGTTTTGTTGTTTCAATAATGCAGAGCCTCACTTCCGAATAGCCATTAACTTGGATAAGCTTTCCATAGATGATTCCATCTCCAAATTAAGATAGGAAAAGAATACATAAAAGGAAAATTACAGACAACAAGAAAGCTAAGGAGAAAGTCAGATTTTTTTCACTTATTCCATAATCCTCTGTATCCCATTTCTTCCCCAACATTCCTGCCATTCAATAATCTAAATCATATATTTTTAAAAGTTTAGTTTATGGCTAACTTGTTATAATCTTTTAAACATAATTTTAGTATATATACTTCACAATATTACTAAAATTTGCTAGACTTATATTCATTTATTTCTAAAGGGAGCAATATACTATTAGGATAAAATGTCCCTAAAGAAAGTAACAACACTACTTATTATTAATAAAGATTGACTCTTATGATGTATTGGGCACTGCTAAAGACTCTGCATTTATAATGCCATTTTTACCCCCAATAGCCCTATGAGCTAGGAACTATTATCATCATCTCCCCTTTAAGGCTAACACAATGCAGGCTTACAGAAGTTAAGTAAACTTGCCCAAGGTCACAGGGGACTCAAAGATTGTTCTGTATAACTTTAGGGCCTGAGCTCTTAATACCTTTATATATTACTCATCTCCAATATACTATACTTGGCATCTTAAACCACTAAGTTGTGGAGCCATAGCATTTTAAAGCCAAAAGAGTTTTGTAAAAGTCAACTAGTCGGCCTTCCTGATTTTACAGATGAGGGACTTGGATTCTAAGGTGATGTGTCCAAGATCACATAGACAGTGGCAAAGCTGAGACTGATGTCTGGACCACAAAGCAGTACACAGCACCTGTTCTCAGGGTTGTGCTAGGGACAAACATTCCCAGATGCATAGGGGATTGGAAGCCTCTTCTAAGCTGCAGAGTAGCTGCAGGTACTGCCAACACTCTCAGCTGCCTGTGGCCTCATGTAGCCCTTATGTAAGCCCTTATGTAAGGTACATGAAATGTACCAAAGGGTACATTTCAGAGATCCCTAAATAAGTGTGCATTCCGGTCCTACCCTTTCCCACTAGTTACAGCACCTGCTGGTGGTAAGCTGCTTTCTGGAAATAGTGAATGAACCCATTCCCGCTTCTGACTCACTGTGAGAGGGATAAACTATATCCAGCATGACATTTAGGAGAGCCAAATGCATAATCCATTGCGTAATTTGACTATGCTTGGATAACACAATTATGCTTTATACTTGTACCCGTTTTTTAAACTACTGGTATGTAAATGCTAGAATATGATGAAAAGAAATAAGGCTGTTAAGGGAAATTAGTAGAAATGTCTGATTTTTGTCTATGACTGTCTGAGTGTTTACAAATGCCTATAATTCTTTCTTCCTTATGCATAAAACAGAAGTGACAGTATTTCTTTATTCTATTTTCCAGCCCTGTCTCTGTGAATTAATGGGCACAAGGCTGACAGTCAACTTTTCCCTATAAGTCTCTGAAAGCATTTTTTCTAAACTCCTATTTGCAAATGTCACCTACAGGAATTATATTTACTTTTTGTTTTACGACTTTAAACTCAGACAATACAGACAAAGTAAAGTTTAGCAGTCCAAGAATGAACTGGCAGATAAAAGATCTAGCTCAGGGAAGAAGTACTATTTATTGATGAAAAGACAAGTCAGCACCTGTTCAGAGTTGCGTTCCCAGTGCCCCATCAGAATGGTGCTGAAACAGCAGCCCCCACGCTTGCAGCAAGCAGCAAGCAGCCAGCAAGGGGGCTGTAGAGCCACAGGACACAGGTAACACCTTCCTGTAAGGCCCATGGTACTTCGATTTCTGGAGAAAAGTTAAATAATTCAACCAGTAGCCTAAGCAAATAACTGGTGATAACTTATTCTTTTAAAACATATATTATGCAGTTAAGTACGAAATACTAAGATAAAACATTTTACAAACCTTTATAAAGCCATTTATATTTGTACATACGTATCTGAGATAGTTGAAAATTTATGTCCACAGCAAAAGTATAAACACAAATGCAAACAGTAGCATTATTCATAATAGCCTAAAAGTGGTGACAATCCAAATGCCCATCAACTGATGAATGGATAAACAAGACATGGTATAGTCACATAATAGAATATTCTTCAGATATAAAAAGGAATAAAGTACTGACACCTGCTACAACATTAATGAACCTTGAAAACATGCTAAGTGAAAGAATACAGACACAAAAGGATATATATTGTGTGATTCCACTGAAATGAAATGTCCAGAATAGGCAAATACTTAGTGACAGAAAACAGATTGATTATTGCCAGGGGCTGGGGGGAGTGGGGAGCGACTGCTAACAGGCCTGATGTACATGAGGTTTCTTTCTTTCTTTCTTTCTTTTTTTTTTTTTTGAGACAGGTCTCACTCTGTTGCCAGGCTGGAGCGCAGTGGCGCAATCTTGGCTTACTGCAACCTCCGCCTTCCAGGTTCAAGCGATTCTCCTGTCTCAGCCTCTGGAGTAGCTGGGACTACAGGTGCGCGCCACCATGCCCAGCTAATTTTTGTATTTTTAGTAGAGACAGGGTTTTACCATGTTGGCCAGGATGGTCTTGATATTTTGACCTCGTGATCCGCACACCTCGGCCTCCCAAAGTGCTGGGATTACAGGAGTGAGCCACCGTGCCCGGCTGAGGTTTCTTTGTAGGATGATAAAAATATTCTGGAATTAGGTAATGGTGATAACTGCACAGTTTTGTGAACACACACAAAGCCGTAGATTGTATACTTTATAAGAGTGAATTTCAATGGTATGTGAATTATATCTATATTTTTTACAAAGCCATGTAAAGAAAGTTCCCACATTCTCAAGGCAAAAGAGACCTTGGGCTTGTGTTCAAACTCTTCCTTTAGAAGAACTTTTTGGAAATAGCTTGGAGGGGGATGTTTTGTTTTTTAAGTGTTAAACTGTATGTAGGCATGAAAATTTATTCAACAAATATCAACTGAATCTTATTAATAGTTGGAATGGTTGGTATTCCAATGCTGAGCACTGGAGAATGAAGTGTCAAACTGGACATTAATAGATCATATAAGGTATATCTATATTTATTTTAAACATTTTGTCTACTTACATGAGACTTTTGACTGAACCAGTTGGTCACTTTAATGACCTTTGCATAACACCTACTTGCTTAAAACAGCTGTGTCATGGTATTATGAGAACACCAATTAAAAATACAATAAGGAAGGAAAAAATACCTTGTTTATCATGGCTTCTTTTGCTTTACTATTCAACTACTGATGACATTTAAAAATAGAAAAGCCCTCACTGTCCCCTCAGCCTTGCATACTGCTCCCACAGCTCTTTTAAGGCTTGGTCCCTTGTTTCATTCAGGTCTTTGCTAATTTCACTGGAGCAGGTTCTCTTCCCAGGATGCCACCTGGGAAGGGATATTAATCACCACCTCTCTCCTCTTCCACTTGTTGCTCTCTATCCCCTTACCCTATTTGATGTTTCTCCATAGCCCTTAGAAATATCTGACTTTAAACTACACTTACTGGTTTTAATTCTTTTTTTTTTTTTTTTTTTTTTTGAGGTGGAGTCTTGCTCTGTCACCAGGCTGAAGTGCAGTGGCGTGATCTTGGCTCACTGCAACCTCTGCCTCCCAGGTTCAAGCAATTCTCCTGCCTCAGCCTCCTGAGTAGCTGGGACTACAGGTATGCATCACCATGCCCAGCTAATTTCTGTATTTTTAGTAGAGATGGGGTTTCACCATGTTGGCCTGGATGGTCTTAATCTCTTCACCTCGTGATCTGCCCGCCTCGGCCTCCCAAAGTGCTGGGATTATAAGCATGAGCCACCGCGCCCGGCTGGTTTTAATTCTTTATTGTCCATCTCACCCTACTCTGTAAGAGGAGTTGGTCAGTCTTGTTCATAAATACATTATATCTACAGAGCCTACAACTAGGTTTGGCACATAGCAGGAGCTCAATCGTTGAGTGACTGAGTAAACTGAATAAATAAAATCCCCTTCAAAACTCCCTGTGCATTCCTCCTGCTTTTAGTCCCTTCTTAATTCCCTTCCTAAATTCCCCTTCTGATCCTTCATTCTCTTGCTAATACCCTTAATTTCCTTCCTCCAGTCTCCAATCATTGCTTTCACCTCACAAAAGTATAATGTTAGATGAATCCAGCTATATGCCTTCTCTGTGCTGGGAATGGAGCAACTCAAAGTGGCTGGAAAAAAATTACAGAATTGGTTGATTGGTTTCACATTAAATTTATGACCATAAACTTTGAATGGACCCTCCCTCAGGTACAGCAATTCTGCTATACTTCTTGC